AATAAATTGCTATACATATATCAAATAACATTGCTTTTCATATGGTGCCCCACTATTGATATTACTATATTAGACCGGCCTGACGTCGGCCTGAAATCCTTCGAACTTCGCAAACTGAACATGTTGAAATAATCCACTGTGCTCTGAATTTTCACCCTATTCATAACAAATAAAATTTTAAAGGTTTGCCTTGCATTATTCATTGTAATAAGGGGGAGCCCAGCTAGATTCCATGATCTAACCAATTTATACATTAGACAGCAGTGGGTGTACTCTGCAGGACGTTGGAGCTCAAAAGAATTCACCTTGAAATTGCAGCTGATTAAATCTATTTGTTAGGCGTTTGGATGTAGCTTTTTAATATGTAGGTAATACTGCAAAATATCTTGCTGACCTTAAACTGTTTAAGGTTGGCATCAGGTCAACAGTTTTTTTTACAAAGGCTTCACCATAAAAGATAAAATCAAAGTTGTCAAAAATCACCAGCCTCACACCGGTTTTGGGTTGGCAAATAGGTCGACCCTAATTCAGAGGGCTAATATATATATATATATATATATATATATATATATATATATATATATATATATATATATATATATATATATATATATATATATATATATATACATTCATAGTATAATAATTATTTTTTTAGCAGGTTCAGCTTGTTTATTTCATGAGATGGAAAATCTTCAATGTATCCCAATAATGCTCCCTAAGGAGAATATTTTATTTCAAATGAATCAATAGAATCCTTTAAAGGAAAGTTAAATGATGCATTACAAACTACTTAATCTTTTCCAGACTAAGATTAAGCTACTTTTCGTTGCATCTTGTTTGATCCACGTTTATTTTTTATCTTTTATTTTAAGCCATCAAAAATAAAATATTGAACATTTTGATTTCAAAAACTTTTTTATTAATTTGCAATTTCATTTTAATTTTATGTGGTCCAATTTAAAATGTTTTACTTCACAAGTATCTTCATATTTAAATAGGTGATTATAATACTAACCATTTCTTTCTTAATAATTACTGACAAAAGAATGTTCAACATTTTTTAATATTTTAATTTGATCATTTTCTCCAAATGAATTTAAATTAGCAAAGGTTCGTTGAAGTTGTGAGGTGCTGGATAAATCAGGCATCACATTTAAAGTGTTGATAACACTTACTGACATCTGAGTCATCTTTATATGCCATTGACTTGGAAGTAAATTGTAAAGGTTAGAAATAATTGAAATCAAATTAAATGTTAATATTTACAACAACAACTACAACATTTTTTTTTATGCATTTAAAAAGTGTTTAAAATTGGTCCTCTAGAAGGAAAAATAAAAAAGGTTGATTCAGAGTTAACTAGCTTTAGCTTTATAATGAGCAATTCAGCACCTTCTAAATCCGCAGAATAGCATTATTTTCTTTTAATAAAAATATATCAGAAAAAGTTGTATCAAGTCCGTTTAAGGTTTTTTCGCTAAAAGTCTGCAGTAATTTTTCACCTATACAATTTTCTTCATGTTGTCTTTTAAGGTCCTTGTCTTTAACTGCATACTTTACTTTACATTTCTTACAATATAAAAGAATGTGTTTTATCATTTGTGTTAGAAATTAATAGAACTTAAAACTGAGTTTAAGGGAATATTTTGAATGTTGACGCTCTTTTATTATATGTATGTATAAATGTATTTAATATATGGCTTATACATAATGTTGTTGCATAACTTGCATATGCATTTGCAAGTTTAAATGGGTATTTGATACAGGATCAATATCAACTGCATTTAAACGCAACATTGATTTTGGTATAGTACTAATTAAGTTATTTAAGATTGCCTATCTCTTTTGATTTTGTTTTGTGATGCATGGTCGACCAGGTGCACTTTTTTTAATTTTCCTTCCAGAAACTTTGGGGAAACAAGAACAATTGTTTGCACATGGTAATGGCCAATTAACTGGTTCAATACTAGAACTTTAACCTTTTTCAATTTTCCTTAAATTGGTATAGCATCTATAACTTTTTGTGGTTGAACCTTCTTATTTTCAATGCTAGTTAAAAATTTTCGATTCTTTTGGAATATTTATTTACATAAACTGGATCTTTTTATATCTTTTCCACATGTTCTACAAATTTGACTAAGATTGGTTATATCCTCCGTGTTAAAAAGATATCTTAATATAGCATTAAGATAAATGAAAAATGGGCCATAAAAAAAAATTACCAGTCTCTAAAATCAACTTTAAAAAGAGATCAATAAAATGAAAAAAAAAAAACAACAGCTTTCAGCTAAAGAAAATTTGTTTCACTGATTAAAAAACACAACATTTCAAGAAAAAAAAAGTCACATTTCAATTTAAAAGTTTTCGTTAAAAACTATAACTTCAACAACAAAATTTATAATATAAATATTCATCTGCCAACTCTAAAACAAATCGTTACAGTTTACAAAAAATTGATTCAGAATCGAAATATTAGACTTTAAAAATTCAGTTAATGTAGCTAAGCTTTAAAAAATAGTAATAGAAAGAAGCTTAAATTTTCATTAAGCTTCGATTTTAACAGCTGTTAACTGCGCTTGCTCAGAATAAGGTTTCAATAGACGGATGGCTTTGTTTACATTCTATAGCGCGTGCGCAAAAACGACAGACAAAACATTTGAGCTAAAGCAAAGTTATAGTGTTAAGTTTGTACAAGCAAACTTTGTGAATAGAAAAAATCTCACTAAAGTGGAACCAGCAAGGCCGGCGCAATGGATGTGAGTGTGGGTGGGGGAAGAGGGTTGTGACACCCTCCCATCAATGATTTTTTTGTTCATTTAGTCGGTAAATTTGAGCTTTTTCGACAAGTTAGTCGGTAAATTTGGACAATCAGTCGGTAAATATTGACTGACTGTCCAAATGTTGACAAGTTAATCGGTAAATTTGGACATGTAGTCAGCATATTTTCAAAAACGAGGACCTATTTTATTTTTTTTAAGTTGGCAAAAGTTGGGAACCAGCGAGTTAAAATGTGTCAAAATATGTTAAAAAGTTGTGTCAAAAAATACTTTTCCAATTCTTAAAAGTAAAATAAGTTTAAATTTAACTAGAAATACTTCTATTAATCTTATATTAATTATGAGCCATCGCTTATTAAAGAAAGCCAAGATAAAATTACAGAAAAATTAAAAGTTTTGATCAAATTGTTTATGAAAAATCATCAAAACCAACTTAATACAATATAAAATTTGTCTAAAAATTAAAGGAAAAACATCTCTAGGAAAATTCACAGGGCTGGACTGTAAAATACTGAAACTGTTTGTAAAATGGGGTACAATGTAAATATTGATAACTATATAAATCAAATAATGTAATATTCTGAAATTGCTTGCTTTATTTCAACAGATTATAATCTTAAAATGGAAAAAATTGCAAATATAAATTTTTGAATGCAATAACTCTACAACAAATAAATCTATCCATCACTGTATCTATCCATTATCTATACATTACTGACTCAAGTTTGTACATTGATGTTGATTATTCTAAGTGCAAATTCAGATGGAAATAAAAAATAAAATTGTCATGGAATGGTTATTTTTTAAACGGTTCTCTATAACCACCAGTATTAATATCAATTACAACAACAAACGATGATAATGCAGTGGGCACACGACGTTATTTCGACGTTGATTTACAGTTGATTTTCAGTGGCGACGTCATATAACCAAAAATCAACATTGTATCAACGTTGAAAAATTTGTTTAAATCTATCAAAGTTGATTCCACGTTAATTCAACGTCTATGTTAGAGTTCGACCGATTTTCAGTCGCGACGTCATATAACCAAAAATCAACGTTGTATCAACGTTAAAAAATTTGTTTAAATCTATCAAAGTTGATTCCACGTTAATTCAACGTCTATATTACGAGTTCGACCGTTCGTAATTGCAATATGAGATTTAAAATACGCATGCGTGACTTGAATTTTTTTTTATTAGCATTAAGCTCAGAACTATTTGCGCTTAGGAGGAACGGAAGAGTTCTTTGAGCATGCGCAAAAAATTCTGATTGGAGAACGGGTTTAAAAAAACTGTTTGCCCATGCTCAAAGAACTTTTCCGCTTCTCCAAAGCGCAAACAACAAATAACAAGTAAAGACTTCAAGTTATTTAATCGCCGTGGATAGCCTACCGAAAGTCGGTAGCGGAAAAATAAAAATTATCCTACCGAAAGTTTTTTTTATTGGTTGAGAAATATCACATGTCAAAATAAGCAATAATCATTATATCGTAAAATGAAGAAAATTTAACATATTATTTTTAAAAAACAAAAATGTAAAAAATTAAATAGGATTTTCCATTAAATAAATAGAAATAACTGCCTCCCCATACCAAAACCCTCATTCAATGCATGTACACTACACAGCGCCTATCCCTATACTAGTAAACGTATGTGCGTTCATATTAGTAAACGTATGTATATAAACTATATTAGTATATGCACATACGTTTATTATATGTATACTTACGTTTATTATACTATATTATTATATGCACATACCTCATATTAATAAACGTATGTATATAAACTATATTATTTAACGTATGTGCACTTCACTGCGCCTATCCCTAAGCTAGTAAATATATGTACACTTCACTGCACATATCCCTAAATTAGTAAATGCATGTACATTCCTCGGTGCCTATCCCTAAATCAGTCAGTGTATAAACACTCCATTGCGTCTCTTAATGCATTGGGCTATTTCCAGCGTATATCCCTATATAATTTATTCAATTAATAAGCGTAACAAAACCTAAAAAACATGGAAAAAAACAATCGAAATGTAAAAAATATTCCTTAGAAAAGGTTTAAACCCGGAACGCCTAGATGCGGCGTCAAGATTACATCCGATACACTATTGGACATTGTAGCTGACAAATTTTAAAAATATATTTATATAGCTATTTTATTGTGACACGTGATATTTCTTAACCATTTAAAAAAAAAACATTTGGTAGGATAATTTTTATTTTTCCGCTATCGACTTTCGGTAGGCTATCCACTGCGTTATTTAATAGCCCAATAAAAATGTGTAAAGTCACACATGCTAATAATTAGGCCATCTGTTGCCTTTTTATAAAGTTTTGAATTTGACAATTTAACAATAATACATGGCTTAACTTGTGATGCAGTTAGTTTGGTAAATATTAAATGGATATTTCTTTAGGACCGTATTATTTAACGAGTGTGGATTACAAGTAGAAATTACTTGAATTATTTTACAGTTTTTAAAGTAAGTTTTTTTTTAGAGTTTGATTAAATTGTTTTACTATGTATGTTAGTTGATTTGACAATACTAGTTTGTATATATATATATAAATATATATATATATATATATATATATATATATATATATATATATATATATATATATATATAAATATATATATATATATACATATGTATATGTGTATTTATATACATATGTATATGTGTATTTATATATATATATATATATATATATATATATATATATATATATATATTTATATATATATATATATATAGTTATGTATATAAATATATATATATATATATATATATATATATATATATATATATATATATATATATATATATATATATATATATATATATATATATATATAATGTAGTTGCGGATAAGTATATACTTTTGTTGCATAACATTTTTAAAAATGGTATCATTTGACAGAATAAAAAAAGGTTTTGATATTATCTTTCCATTTTTTTAAATTATAAAAATAAAATAAAAAAACTATGTTTATTGATCTTCTAAGAATCTTAAAAGTTTTTTTATAAGAAATAAACTTCAAGAGATTCTTGTGACTTAATGTTTTGTTTTTTTAAATAATGAAATATTTATTAACATTTAAATAATATGCTTTAAACATTTTTTACTACAATCTAAATTATTAATGTAATAATAAAGGCAATAATTAAATTATTTTTGTGTAAGATCTTAAAGTTATTTTTTTATTTCAAATGTTCGATTTATTTAATAAAGAAGACATTTTAAATGACTGCTTTATTAAATAAATCAAACATTTGAATTGTCATACAGTATAATTTTTTTTTTAATAATTTACTTATAATAGTTTAGATTATATAGCTATTTTAAGATATATTATTAAAGGTATCAATAATATATATATATGTGGCATTGATGTTGTTAGAAGCTGATATTTCATATTTTAAATATGTCTCTTTTGTTTGATTTTTCCTGAGTTTGATTGTGAAACCCCATCTATTAACATATTAAAACAGTGTGCAAAAAGTGATATTACTAGAATTTATATTTTACTTATGTAGAGCTTTCTAATATTTCATCTTTCTAAGGTAGAGGGACATTATTCTTGGTTTTATTATTTTTTAATTTAATATATCTGGATATTTTTCATATTTAGTTTGTACAACAGTTAACAACTTTGAGCTTTAACAACATTAACTTTAGTTATAACTTAATAATTAATGATTTGATTTATAGATTTTTAAAGGAGACAAAAAAGGAAGACAGCGAAAAGGACCAGCCAAAATAAAGAATAAAGTGACAAAAAATTGTGTATATCTTGGTGTAGATGATTTATCCAAAATAATAAATTTTTATAATAAAACAAAAAATATTATTAAACTTTAAGATTTACCTGTGACTCCAAACTCTTTACAGAAGTTCAATGTTTGCTCTGAGAAGTTGAATGAACAAAATTTATTAAATGGTAAGTTTTTATATAAAAGTCTTTATGTATGATGATTGAAAATCTTTATTCATAGCTTTAACTTTTACAATTTAAAAGACTTTTTAATATATTGCAGTCAAAATGTCAGAGTGTTAATTAGCATTTTATTGTGTAATAATAAACATATCAAGGCTTACACCACAAGCTTGGCCTCGAATACTGACCACTGATACTATATTTAGTTGCAAAAACCTGGCCAGGTTTTTTAGTCATTTTAAGAACAATTAAGTTTATGAACGTAACATAAATTTTTTGTTGGATTTCAAAGTTGGTATCACCAACTTTGAAATCAACTGTTGAAAAAAAACATAATGAATAACAATGAACTGAGTATTCATATCAGTTCATTGTTATTCATTATATAATTGTTTATTTAAATTTATCTAATAGACGAAGGTAAAAAAATATTTTTTTATAGATGATATTTTTTAAAATTGTATTAATAAATTTCAGAACTAAAACATGTAAAAAAAATTATTTACAAACATTGGACAAGGTCCATACTGTACCTTGAAAATCTGGAAAATTTGTTAATATTGGCTAAAGTTGTGGAAAACCTGAAAAAGTCAGGAAATGATTTCTTTAGATAGTCATGAAAAAATCAGTAATTCTAGTTAAGAAGCTACTTGTTTCACAATTAAATGCTGTATTTTGAAAACGTGATAAGTCACACTTTTTTTAAAAGTATTTGAAAATGTTAGTCATCCTTAATAATAAGATATATACTAACATGTATAATAAGCTTTATACTAATATCAAACTTAACTAATAGCTAAGTTTTATAATTTTTTCCCATTCAAAGCATGTACAATCTTAGCATTTCCATTACAGTAGATAGTATTATATATCTATTTTTAACATTTTGTAAAAATCATTGTTAAAAATGGTCCAGGAAAATCATACAATTTTTGCATTACAGAATTACTTTCAATTTGTTATGTTTCTTTGGTGCATAATTGAACAAACAACAATTTTTTTTGCAGAAACTGTGAAGTCAAATAAGCATGGCTTATGCAGACATGTGATAGAGATAGTGGAAGAAAAAATAATAGTCGTGGGCACCAAATATCATAATCTAAACCAGATTCAATAACAAGTAGCTCAGCCAATATCAAAACTACTCTATAAATTTTATATTGAATTTTTTTATTTAAAACTCAATGTGTCAGTTATTGTTTTAAGTTTGGTGTTTGCAATATGTATATATAACCGAGAAATTATGTTAAATAAATAAATGTTATACTTAGATCATACATACTTTTTTTTCTCTATAAATTTTCAATGTAGTGATGCAAATCATCTTATTTGTAACAATGATCTAATGTTGCATAAAACGTTAAGCCGATATATTGTTGTATACAACACTGACCCAATATAAACGTTAGACCAATATATTGTTGTATACAACATTGATCCAATGTTGTATACAACATTGGTCCAATATTGTATACAACATTGGCCTAACGTTATAAACAACGTTGGGCCAATGTTATATAAACGTTGTATACAACATTGGGCCAATGTTGTACACAATGTTGGGCCATTATTATGCACCAAAGAAACGCAACAAATTAAAAGTAATTATGTAATGCAAAATTGAAACTGAAAAAATAAACTTTTCTGAACCACTTACCAATAGCAACATATGCAATCAACATTTTTCCTATTCCAATTTTTTGTCTTCTCCCTGCATAATTTATTTTTACAGCTAGGCCATTTTAAAAAACTATTCTTAGTAAATAACATATACAATCTCCTTTGTCTTTAATACCAATTTGTGACAAATAATTGACCTGCAAAAATACACAACCTGGCAATAATTAAAGTAACTTTTGTTTAGACTTAAATTAATATAAAATGTAATTTACAAAAAATCTTCAAAGAGTATTTTATTTAAAGTATATAAATTGTACTAAGATATCATACAAAATGCATAAAGAGATCATAAAAAAATAATTACCATTTACTTAAGTGCTTTTTTGTCTTTTTTCTTCCAGAGTACTTGACTTCTTCACTGCTTTTAATGGCAATGATACTCTTTCAGGCAATAGAATAATTAGCATACCTTTGTTACTCAAATTTTTATAACTAAATTTGATGTATTTTGTAGTTCATTAAGTTGTACTTCAATGCTTGCCCATTGTGCCAATAATACCAGTATATCTTTAAAGGGTACAACTTTATCTTGAAACAATAAAGTTAATTATATTATTAAGAAACTATACAACTAATTACATACTATATTTAGAACATATGAAAGTAAATACAACAATCACTAATAAAACAGATAAAATTAAAGACAGAGGGGCAAATTTTTAATGATTAAAATAGATACTTGCTAATGGATTCATAATATTTTTATGAATTATGAAATTCTTCAGGTGTGTATTCAATTTCTGGCACTGACACAAAACAATTCTTGTTAATTTTTGAGATTGCACTGTAAAACAAAAAAATTCATATTAAAACAATGTTTCTCCAACAGGGTTCGTAGCCAACTATTTATATAAAGTTCAATGACTTTTTTGAAAAAATCAGATAAATTTCCCTGACCATTTTTAACAACGGTTTTTACAAAATGTTTAAAATTACTATCTACTGTAATGGAAATGCTAAGATTATACATGCTTTGAATGACAAAACTTATAAAACTTAGCTAATATTTAATTTGGATATTAATATGGATCTTTTTATACATGTTAGTATAGATCTTGTTATTAAGGATGACTAAGAATGAACACTAAGAAAAACATAAGTTCAGAAAAAATAAATGGGTAGCACCAAAAAAACATAATAGCTTAATTGAGCACTACATTTTGAAAATATGACAAATCACAAAATTAAAATTTTACAGGAGAGTAAAAAACGTTTCTACTGTTAAAAATTTTATTTTTATTTTATATAAAAAATTGTTTCTTTTATCAAATTTTTTTTACATATTTTACTTCTGAATTTTAATAATACAATTTTTAAAAATAATATCATCTATAAAAATACTGTATACCTTCGTCAATTAGATAAATTTAAATAAACATTTATATAATGAATAATAATGAACCACCAGCAACTGTTAAAACTTTAAACTGATATGAATACTCTGTTGTTTATTTCAACAGTTGATTTCAAATTAATTTTAAAGTTGGTGACACAAACTTTGAAATCCAACAAAACTTTTTTGTTACGTTCATAAACTTAAATGTTCTCAAAACGACTAAAAATTTGGCCAGTTTTTCGCAACTAAATATAACTTCTGTGGTCAGTATTCGAGAGTGATCGTTCCCGCTTCCGGACCAAGACTGTGGTGTAAGCTTTGATATGTTGATTATTACATAATAAAATGTTAATTAACACTCTGACTTTTTGACTGTAATATATGAAAAAGTCTTTAAAATTGTAAAAGTTAAAAAAATGAATAAAGAATTTCAATCGTCAGACATAAAGACTTTTATATAAAACTTACCATTTAATAAATTTTGTTCATTCAACTTCTCAGAGCAAACATTGAACTTCTGTAAAGAGTTTGGAGTCACATGTAAATCCCAAAGTTTAATAATATTTTTTGTTTTATTATAAGAAATTAAGGATAAATCATCTACATCAAGATATACACAATTTTTTGTCTCTTAAATCTTTATTTTGGCTAGTCATTTTTGCTGTCTTCCTTTTTCATCTTCAAGCAGAAGTTTAGCCTTCTGCTCACACTTGTATTGCTATAAAAATCTATAAATCAAATCAACAATAATTAAGTTATAACTAAAGGTAATGTATAAGCTTAAAGTTGTTAACTGTTGTATGCAAACTAATTGTGAAAAATATCCAGAGATATTAAATTTAGAAATAATAAAACCAAGAATAATGACCCTCTGCTTTAGAAAGATGGAATATATAAAGGGTTGTTTCGATATTTTATCATGATTTAAATCAGACAAATAAAAATAATGATTTAAATTGAGTCTTTTTATTATAATTGTTTTTAATGATTATTTATTGATTTTAATGATTATTTATTGATCTCATAATTCAATCAATTATTATAGACTAGTCATTGTTCTTAAAATAAATTGTCTGGCAATAGTAGAAAGCTCTACATATGTAGAATTTAAATTCTAGTTACATCACTTTTTGTACACTGTTTTAATATGTTAGTAGATGAGGTTTTACAAACAAACACAGAAAAAATCAAACAAAGAAAACATACATAAAATGTAAAATATCAGCTTCTAACAACTTCAAAGCCACATATATTATAAAATCTAAACTATTATAAATAAATTATGAAAAAAAATTTTTTTTTAATACTTATACTGTATAACATTTCAAATGTTTGATATATTAAATAAAGAAGAATTTAAAATAACTTCTTTATTAAATAAATCGAATATTTGAAATGCCAATACAGCAATAAGTATAAAAAAATAACTTTAAGATCTCACACTAAAATAATTTAATTATTGCCTTTATTATTACATTAATTATTTAAATTGTATTAAAAAATGTTTTAAACATATTATTTAAATGTTAACAAATATTTCATTATTTAAAAAAACAAAACAATAAGTCACGAGAATCTCTTGAAATTTATTTCTTTTAAAGAACCTTTTAAGATTCTTAGAAGATTCATAAATACTAGCAAAAAGCAACCCGTAATACGGGTTTTGGTCGGTCTGCTACATAATTAATTTATAGTGGCTGTTTTACAAAATTTAATGTTGCAAAACCTTAACTAATAAAATTAAGAAAATCGCCTTCAGCTTGAAAAAATTAATCCATCTGTAAAATTAACATAAAAAGTATGAGGAGGTAAAATAATTTACTAACTACTACTAAACAATTACTACTTAACATTATTTAAGTAATTTACAAATGGCATAGGTCATAACAGTGAAAGGCAGAACCATTTTCATCGACCTTCCTAAGTTTAACACAATACGTTTTTAGTTACTGACACAAAATAATAACACTTGGTCATGCTTTAAATTGACGAAAGTGTCAACTAAATCCTTGTAATAATTTTTATAATACGAACCATTAAGATTAAAATGAAGTTAACTTATATTATACAGGAGTTATCAATTTTTTGGTATCCCCTTGATTAATTATTCTTTAGAAAAGAAAATTGTTAACTTAAAAATGTTAAATGCACACATTTAAATAAATTTATAAAAAATAACAAAGTTTATTATAAATAACTACGCAACTGAGTACAAATACCTTTCAAACAAAAAAAATTTAATTTACGATCAAACATGGGTATAACAAATTTTTTAATGCATAAATGCATTATATGACAAACCTAAAATAAAAATTATAAGAGATAAGTAGACATAAAAATTTGTAAACCAAGCTGACCCGAGTCTTGTTAAGTCTATTCAACACAGACCATTTCTATATTATTTGTTTGGCCTCTTTATTTCATTAATTTTAAGTAAACGGTAATTTGCCACCATTTACTAAAAATGTAACTCGAAATTTAATTTTCCTAAATATTTTGACTCTATTAAAGAGGTTCCTTCCCTCTTTTTGCTTTAATGGTGGCCAGGTGAATAAAATAATAAAATGTAAAAAAATGATCTACATATATAAGAATGTTTTCTTTCTTTCCTCAAAAGTGTTGCAAATACAGACTAAGCTAACTAATTAGTTAAACACATAAAAAAAAAACTTAAGTAACTCGATATTAAATGCGCAAAACTACAATATTCTCC